CGCTGGTTTCTATATTTGCAACGGTTCTAGACGTTCTACTAGACTGAAACAGGAGGTGTTTGTGAATTCCACCCTTACGCCATAGCTTTTGCAACTTCAGCACTTAAATGGAAGCGGAGTCTCATAAAAAGTTGAGCCAATAGTTCGCATCATTTTCACATGCAAACTGTCAACGGCTCCGATATCAATAAATGACGCGAGCTGTCAACGGCTAAGCACGAAGAAAATACCGGAAACCATACGGCAAGTGTTTAAGTATAAGAAAGTAAGCAAAGGCGAGCGTTTAAGCCATTTCTCCAGCGCCAACGACATCTTCAGGACGAGGCAGTGGGTTATTCGGTTGTTGGATGTCCAGCGGGCTGGGGGGTGGGGGTGTGGCCAACTGCTCACTGCTTTCCGGCCCCGCCTCGATTGGCTGCACACCGGCTCTGGATCGAGTCATGCTTGCAACTCCACGCCCGCCAAGGTCCTTGAGCAGCAACCCAGCTGCTGCGGCTGCTGCCACAGCCTTCATCAATAAATTCTTAAGACCAAAGTTGGGACGCTCGGGTTTAGAAGCGCACGGCTCCTTGGGAAGCTGAGGCTTGTCCTCAGTTTCCCCCAGTTCACCTGCAGCTCCCTCCTCATCCAAAGACTCCTCGACAGGGGGACTCTTCACTACGGGGGCTTCTTCAGATACAGGGCGCTCCGGGACCGGCTCTGTTGCAGGTACTTCACGCTGTGCCTGGTCCACTGGACCGGTCTCCTCGCCCCCCCGTACACCAGACGAAGATGCTCCACCACGTAGACCGGCGACTCCACGACTGCCAAGCGACTTTAATGTTGCGCCAGCAATTGTTGCCAGAGCACCAAGTTGGTCTATCAGTTCCCTCAGCGTGTGCCCGAAGGGCCGAGGCCGCGCGAAGCACGGCTCCTTAGGGAGCTGAGGCTCCTCGCCGACCTCTTCACCTTCAGGTAATGTACCACCTGCAACCTCCACTTCTTCACCAGCTGGAAGTTTATTCACCCCCTCACTCCTGCCCATGGGGGCACCAGCAGCAGCAGCAGCACCTCTGAGGCTTCCCGACTGGGGATCCATTGCTCCAAAAAGTTGTTCTTAGGGATTCAAAGAATGACAACGGAATTCTAAAGATAGTGACAGTCGAAGTTGCGTGAACTTGAAAATCCAGTGTACTAGCTTGAGGCTACCACCAGGCAGCCACTCAAGCGCCCAGACAGGAAGCGGCGGAGAGAGTGCTCGGCTCGCTTTCGAGACAGCAATGAGCGAGAGGAGCGAGCGCCTCTGCACGGCAGACCAAAATGCCAGACCGATTAAATATTATACACTATTACAAGTATAAATATTGTTTAAATATTAAATGCAACGTGAATATCAATACGCCTTTCCTTTTATCGGGCATAGCCAGCTATGCAACACGCAAGGATTCTGCTCGCAGAGCAGGGGCTCTGAGCACCAACCACCACAGCACCACGTGCTCGATTGAGAGGAGCAGTTAAGCTTATTGAATACTCTCAGTACTGGCTATTTCACTTAAGAAACTGA